ACCCCAGATATGCCACCAAAATCACCATCTCTCCCTCTTTATAGAAGTAGCTAAGCTTAAGTACCAAAAGCAAGGTGTTCCTATTGCCCATCACTGTGGCAGACACCATCCACCCCACGCCAAGGGCCAGCGGGGTATCTCACCCATAGGCATGCCAACTGGGCAGGCTCCTTTCAGAGACAGAGGCAGACAGTGACCACGTAGGTCTGATGCTGAAACACAACTTCGTAATGGAGGGAGCAGAGAAAGCTCTCATCACTTCAGAGTTTTATTTCAATCTTTTGCTGACAGCTTTCCTTATGTTAATTTGTTGGGGGTAGGACTATGTTAGAAGAGGGTTTTATTCTTTATAGTCTAGTATAACTGCATGAGACTTCCTTAAATTACATTCAAAATGTCACATCCTTTGTATTATATGAGTAAACTTGTATTTCCCCGTTCCTAGATTTCAGATGACAGAATTTTCCACTGTTTACACAGAAATCATCAGTGCTTCCTGCCAGCTCTTTTTGAGAGGGTATTCTCATAGTAAGGTCCGTCGGGGGGAGAGAGAAGGGGGAAAAGAAAAGCAAAGGTTTGGGGGTTGTATTATAGTTTTTTTAATCTTTTGTATTATGTCATAACAAAGAAAATGACACAGAGCTTAGGTACAGAGACAAGGAGGTGCTATAATCCACAGCAGGAATGGTGCTTGGGCATTCTCCCTTCACCTTTTTGCTGGGGACACCATTCTTGCCCAGGCAGAGGTATCTTCTCCCCTCCACGAAAACGGACTGGCCCCACAGACCCTTCTCCCAAACCTCCTTTGAAGGAAGGCTGCGAGTGACACACACGCAGAATTAGCAAGAGATCTGTCAGCACCTTCTAATTACAGTGTGCTTTCAGTCAGAATGACTTTTTTTTTATTATTATAAGCAACTAAGGGCAGAACTAAATGTAAATCTCCATGAAAATGCACTGCATGTAGGCCTATGAGTGTCTTCTGCTGAAACCTGCCTCTTGTGGGTTGCAAAGATGCCATTGCCCTCCAATGAATGACAAACTCTAATAAGGCTGAAAATCAATACACAACATCAAAACAGTTAACTTAATTGCTACACCGTACACACACAGCTCTCTGGCCAAAATACACGACAAGAAAATGAAACTGCTCTTACTTCTCTGGTTTCTTTCTAGAATAATTTAAAAAACCCATTCCTGTCTATTCCGCTCCTAATGGACAACATTTCAAGCGGGAATAGGAGAAAATCCACAGCAGTGTTTTCTTTAGAAGTTAAGCACACGAGACACAGAGGTGAAGGTATTTTTCCTTATCCTAACAAAGCCCAGTTCATTATTTAGTTTGCTTCCAGTCTTCCCCACTCCAGCTTAGACCGACACAGCGCATGCACCTCCTTGTGCATTTCTTTGACCAAAACACAGAAGGTGTTTCTGAAGTGAATTGTCAGAGGGACCAGCAAGAACTACTTTGGCTGTTCTACCTGTGACGCTGAAATGGGTTTCAAGCAGTGAATTGTAATGTGAGATACTCCAGCAACATTAATAATACCACATTTTTAGAGAATTATTTCAAAATAGGGACCAAAAGCACCACTGAGCAAAACTCAGATCTTCTGTAACACTTGTAGGGAAGAGCTTTTGCACGCAAAACGGAGACAGCGTCCCCTAAAGAAACTTTCCTGCAAGATTTAGAAACACCTGCTGTGAGCTGGACTGGGTTTCAGTGCCACATCCTTCCCCTCCAGTAACACCTGAGTTACAGCAGAACTCCCCATCACTTCAATTCATTCCAACCTATGAAAATAAATTTATAAGATACATTGGACAGGACAAACCAGTGTTGCCAGGTGCTTCTGGATATGAAAAGCAGAGAGTGGGAGCTTTAATGAAGTTAGCTCTTAGTCATAGGGAGGTGATAAATGCAGAAAGAAAATATCCTCTTGTTAATGTTTGTGTTTACCATTTTCCCAGGTTTAAAGACAGTGGATGTTTCTCTGTCTTGCACCTTTATTCAGTCAATTACAGCAGCAAAGGAGGTAAATAACACACTAGCATTCTGATTTAATGGCGTTTCATTTGCACAGAAGTGATGAGACAAGGCACAGGACAGACGAAAAATAGGCCTTAACTCTTAATTTCTTTTCCTTTAAAGTCAGCTGCCATTCTGTTATGGTTTACTTTTAGTGGAAGAAAATTTTGCCAAAGTTAAACAAGAGCTCCAATACAGTAACTTGTATATACAAAAACATCATGGGCTCTGAAATTCACTGACGCAGACCACAACAAATAAAGACCTTGAAGCCTTCATCTTAGATACATCAAAACTTCCTAGAGCAAGCTAAATTGCATGATCCCTGCCTTGAATGGTCCCACTAATGGCTCACTCTGTGGCTCCGCTATGGTCCATCATGCCCCCAGTGCAAAAAAAGCTGTAAAAGTGCAATATCCAAAACAGCACATTGAGCCTCAGTGGGCAGAAGGCAGCACACCTCCATCCTCCTCGGGGTCTCTTGGCTCAGGGTGGTGTCTGGAGCAAAGGGATTTGCAACTACCTTGTGTCTTTGTACAGAAGAAAGCTATCGAGTGTTGGCATACATTTGTCTTTCTGGTGTGGCAGACCAGATTCTTCCGCAGGGATCTGTGAAGTCCTTTGGAAGTGCCACATTCCCATAGCTCTCCTGTCCCATGTCCAGCATTGTAAGCAACCAAGGTGAAAATTAAAGCAGTTGAGAAGCTGCTCTAGGTTGTGCTGACCTTCTCCAGAGACACAAGGCTATCTGACTGCAAACCATCAGCAAGGAGCTCTTCTTGCACCAGCCTTCTTCCATGCCCACATACTTTTATGCTTGACATTAGGTCCAGGTCTTTCATGAAAATTTTCATTAAGTCACATTGTAAGTGATCATTTTTTAAAACACTGTGAGGCTCATCCTTTCTTAGTAGTTAGAGTGGTAGTGAATCAATGCAAACTAATAATAATATTATTATTATTATTGCACACAAATGGAAACTCTTTCGAGTTTCCCTATTGATATTACTGTGTTCCAGTACCAGCCTTCTCTCCCAGCTGACACTTCAATAGCAAATGAATTCTCAAAAATGTGCCCTACCTGAAACTAGATACGTACACAGAATTCGCATCTGATGGAAAAAATAAGTTTAAGCCCATCCCTGACACTCTAAAGTTTGCTGTGGGATCTTATGGATATATTCATTTTCTTCATTATAAAGATTAACAAATACATGAATCATTCAGGTCTGTCTACCAGTGCTGGTAATAATAGATAGCATGTTTACAAAGTTTTCACGGTTATGTGAGTCAATCCAATGCACATTTTCCCAGATATAAAAATAAATCTTATATAATGCACAGTTCACAGAATCAATACGCTGGCCGTGTGCACCAAACACAGAAGAAAATAGCACAGGAACTCCTATGCAACAACTGTCCTAAGAAGCTGGAGAAGCTGCAGTTCTAAACCTGAGTCATTTGATGCAAAATTTGGTCGAGTTGTTGTGTGAGCACGAGTAGCAGTAAAGACAGCAGAGAACAAACACAGCAATCCTCTTGGTTTGTTCATAAACAAACAGAATAATTAGGCAGAGTCATAAGTGTTCTGTGTCTTCGGATAGTATTCTCTACTGCCTAGGGTCAAAAGGAAATGCTTCTCCTCCAAACTGACAAACTGATGAAATAACACTATTAATAATGACACTGAGGGGCAGAGATTATGACAAGTTCAAGAGGGAACAGGTTGCAACTTAATCTGCGGAGTGACTACTGCTTTCCCATTAGAGATTCGAAGAGTAGCCTTTTCCTGGAAGCTTCACCTTTAAAATGCTGTACGCACATTAACAGATGGCTACATGAAGATATTTTAATGAAACATACACTTCCATCTTCAGTTGTTTTTTTCATCAAGTTTAATGTTTGCACAATGTTGATGATTGCAAAAATAAGTTTTCCACAAAGAAAAATTGGTACACAGGTACCTCTTCCCACACCAATAAAAGGCTTGTATCCATCATTATTTGGTGAAGTTGTGACCCAATTACACTAGTACAAATCAGAATAAACTTTCCTGATTTCTTAACTGCAAGGAAGTAGAATCTCTATCATCTTAAAGCATTCAGGGGGAATTTGTATCAATTGATTATTACATGTAAATTATCTATTTCTATTTTATCTATTTCCTGGATTTCAAATAAAAAATGAAATGGGATGTAAGCTTGCTTTGTTTCTAACACCTGTAGGGATTTACATATCGTAGCTGAGTGAGACAGGCAGTTTTGGCAGAGCAGTCTGCTCAGGGAATCATCAGATTTTAACTTTTTCACAGCAAGCCTCTTGGAAAAAACACACAGACACCTGTCGCTTTGAGAAGCCTCACTTTTCCCCAAATCAGCGAACACAAACAATAAACAGCACTCTTCAAACAGCTACAAACACCAATCCTGAAATTCCTAATCTCTCCTCGCGTCTTTCCCTGCTCCAGCAGTTTTGCTTCTTGTGTTTGAGGCAACAAGAACTGCTACATACAGCTTTATGCAATCTCAGAAGGGGCAAAAGGTCCCAGAATTTGGAAATGCTCAGTGAACAAAGAAATACTGGAAACAAAGCCAAGGCTCCCAGGGGTTATGTCCCGGGTTCATCAGAAGGAAATGCAGCTCGCAAATTGGAGACCTGCAATTCTGAAGCCCAGGTTTTCCTGAGATAAGGCTCCAAAACAAAAGTTCTGCAAACATTTTGGTGAACTCCTGCCAAAACCCAGCAAAAGGATTTAGGGCAGCTGCGTATCAAAGGCAAGTTTCTTGGGCAGAAGGAAATGCAGAAGGCAGAATGGAAACCAAACCCGAATGAGAGCTGCAGGGCATCTCTACGTTTTAAAGCCATCTATTGCCAGCAGGCAGTTGTCAACAGCTGTCTTTTCCCTGGAAAGAGTAGGAAAGGAAAGGAGGAGGATAGAGACAACAAAGAAGAGGAATTAAATCAGCCTCACCAATCGTAAAGCTATAGCCATCAATGCTGAAAGTAGCACTCCGGCATTTTTTAAATCCTTCCTTTCTGTTGCTTGGCTCTGTCATGATCCTGCCAGCTTGTACTTTCTTTCAGCAGCAGCCTGTCTCTCCCCGCTGGAAGCAGAGCTGGAGTTCCCTCCTCGCTGCCCTGGAGTCTGTGCGGGTGACGGCGCACACCCCCCCAGCTTCACCCATCTCCCGGCGCGGGGGGCCGAGCGGGAGAGGCTTGCACCCAGCAGCTTTCTCCTCCCCCCGCTGCTCCCGCTGCCTTCTCACCAACGACGACGTGCCTGCTCCCAGTTTAACAACTGCTCAGGGCACCTAACCCAGCAGTCAATTAGCGCCGGACTACCCAGTCGATAAGCCAGCTGCGCCTGTCAAATCTCCGTGTAGGAGTTCGGCGCGCAATTAGCAAATGATGAAAGGTTAGATTTCGCTGCGATCTACCCACTGACGGTCCCCGTGCTCCCTCCTGTCCTGCAGCCCTCGCTTCTCCGGCTCCCCTTCGCTCCTGGGGATTCCTGACACGCAGCAAACTGTGCTCGGATTTCAGCCCTCCGAATGCAAGCAGCGCCTTTTCATCATCCCAGCTCCAGTGAATCAACCCCAGATTACAGCGCACCATCAATCATCTACCACCTATACCAACGGCGAGGCTTCTGCAAACACAACTGGCAGCAGAACGCCGGAGATTGTCGGTGGGTAAGAGCGTAAGTGACGGCGGGGAAACAAAAGTAATTTAAGCCGTAATGGTGATAAACTGAGCAAACTGCACACGCACACGTTAAAAAAAAAAAAAGTCTTCTGAGCTCTTCCTCCTCCTGGCGGTTCATCACATGGTTTGTAAACTCCTCTCTGCAGTTTTTTAACCCAATGAGGTTTTTTTAAAAAAAATGTGATTCAGAGTGCTTGCAGCAATCCACTGAAAAAAAGGCAAATCATCCCTACCCTAGGAACAGAGAAAATTTAGAGTCAAGGCTGGCAAAGTTTTCACAGAAGGCTAGCAGCAAGCCAAGGTTTTATAAGTAGGTATCCAAGAAAACACTGTCAATATCTTAATGATTCCAGTTCACATAAATCTGTGCAATCCTTTTTTCTGCTGTATGTGTTAATATAGAAACATGCTACTAAAGTGTGCCAATTTTTCAGGTTCCCAAGTAGAAAAGTAAATTCCAGGTAAATATTGCATTGTTCTGAGTGGAAACCACATGGAAACACTGCGTTTCAGGAAGACTGCCATCAAAATAATAGCTGAGACACCGTTTGCTAAAAGCTAACCCAACGCACACCAGAGGTTTACAAAATACCAGCAAATCTAGTCTGTGTTTAAGGTACAAACCTCAAGCCTACCTTGGTTTCTCAACAAAAGCTTAAGTCAGATAGAAATATTGCACTTTTAAAATACCCTCTCTTCAAAGGATTGAAGGGAGTCACCATGGAACTTGAGTAGTTAATTTAAATTCCACCTAGTTCTAGCCCAGCAAAGAGCCTCAGCCAAACGGATCTTTTCTGTTAACAATTTTTTTAATGATTTGGCTGCTCAGTAATGCAAGGCAGGTTCATTAAGAAAAGAAACGTTAGTAGCGAGAAGGCTTTTTACAGGAAGGAGGGCCTGGTCTTCCAGGTTTCTTGGCTTTTCAAGATACAGTGTGAAACAATAACTACTAGTTAGAGACAACATCTCCGTCACTTGCACCTGCAATTATTTTTGACTTCAGAAAGGTGGGCACAGCTCAGTAATTTTAAAGAGCTGCTGCTATAAAGGCAGCCACCACAAAGAAGAATTCTCAAGCGGCTCACCAGACTCCATCATGTAGCTGTGTCTCCCAAACAATATAGAAAAAGAGTCTGAGTATAAAGTGTTTTGAAGGGATTATTTTCTCTGTCACTGGCTATATAGGTCACACACCTTGATGAGCACTGAGGTTCTGCCTAAGAAAGCAAAGGCATAGAAAATTACTCACACAATATCTAGAAAGCACAAAGTTAAATGTTATCTAAAGGAAGGGTAAATATTAGAACTGTCAGAGTTTGGTTTTGTTTTAATTTATTTATTTGATGACATCAATTTTTTCCTTAAGCACTGATTCATGAATAAAAATTGTGGGAAGACAGCAGTGATGATCATGAAGTTTCAGTCAAGTTTCTTAGTTCCAGAAGAAACTTTTTTTCCATAAAAGACCGGCAGACAGCACCTCACTTGCTTGGACCATGTACTCATGTAGGAAGCAGAAGAGCTTTATTAGCATTTCTCAGGTCACCAAGCTACTGCCATGTTGCTCATCCCTGATGTCCTTCACTGGGGCTCCGGCCACTTTGTACAGATTGCCAGGAAAAAAAGGACCCACGCGTTCAGCAGCTATGCACAGCTGAGTTACCTTGAATGAGACCTTGTTCAAGCCCCAACTAATACTAATTTCAAATAATCGTAATAATTTGATAAGCTGATTTAGGTCAAAGAGAGCAATTCCCACGGGGAGGGCAAAGACAGTAGTCACTCATCAGGGTGAACTGATCAAATGAGGCCATGAACTGGATCTCCCCCATCCCTGGAGGGGGGCCGAAATGGGCTGTTTGCAACAAGATGCTCTCTCCCTTCCAAACTGCAGAGGCACTCACCTTGGGGTGAAAAGGGAAATCTTTTGCCCTGCAAGTTTTTCAAGGAGGAAACACTTTCTTTCCAGGCCTAGTGAAAATTTAATCCGGTAGCTCAAAGAATTACCAAATCCTATCAGTAACGTGATACCTGATCCTATCTGATTCTTTGCATTTTGCAGTTCAGCTCTTGGCCAGATTTCAGCTCTGCCATTTACATTCTGCTTCCCCAAACAATCCCTACAGATTCACTCAGGGTACAGTACATTTTCTACCTTCTGCTGCCTGGCAGTACCAATATAGGTGGTTAGGCAGTTCTTGGGGCTGCAGTTCAGCGCCATGTAGAGCAATCCATGTATGTCATTTGTAAACCACCTGGGGATCCTTTGAGATGAAAAGCACAGTGTGAATTGAAAATATTTATTATTATTGCTGTAAACAGACTGGGGTATCCATGGTAACATTTAATTTGTCAACACATAAAACAGCAGTTACTTTAATATCTTCCCTTTACTTTTCAACACGTAGAAGAGTTTGCATGTTTTCAGGAAGTCTATTTTAACTGAAGACCACATCAAATTAAACCGATGGCCCATCCAATCCGCCATCCTCCACCATACACCCTAGAGGAAGTTATGAGAGAACAGCCACCTGTAACAAACAAATATACAACACTGTCCTTCCTATCCCTGGGCAGTCTGTTTCTGCCCTGCAGTATAAAAAAGCGTATTATTTATGTAAATTTGTCTCAGCAAGACTGAAAGATTTTTAATTGCAGTTTACACCAAATACTTTCCCAAGCATAAACTTTGAAAATCAATTGCATGGAGAAATACTTCTATGTGTCAGCTCAGAGGCATGAGACTTGTTATTTCAGCCCTGTATCCCCTGGCTCTTGTAGTGTGAGAAAGAGAACATAAAAGCATTAAGTGAAATCCTAGCCTCATGGAAGTCAAGGGCAAAACTTTCCCTCACTTCAGCAGGGCTGGAGCTCTCTTCTCCTGGTTTTCCATGCCTGTGCTCCTATTGCCCTGGTTCCTAACACAACAAAGTTCTACCAGAGCAGTGATGGTTTTAGACCTCAGGCATCCGTATGCTTTTGTAGTGCCTGGTGCTGAAGTTAGCACTGACTTAGGATCTCTGAATTTTTGATCTTTTCAGAAGTGTCCCAGGTACCCTAAACCAACTGACAACTTGACTATGACTATTAAAAACAAAAATGCAGCCCTCCTGGGTCAGACCAAAGGTCCTCAGAGGCCAGTGTCCTATGTCCAGCTCTGTATCATGTCTCCATCACTGCCCAAAAATAGATGATACTAGATACCCAGCCACCTCCAGCTCAGGTACCTCCTGAGCCAGCTGTGTTTTCTGTATGTTCATAAACAGTCAAAAGTTTTCTGTTCAAACAGCTTAAACCTTCAGCACCCTCAGCATCCTTTGGCAGGAAGGTCCACACCTTAACTAAACATAGCACAAAGACTTTTTGCTTTTGTTGCTTCTGTTGGCTTTAAAGGTTTCTTTTTCTAGCTATATGGTTGCTCTTTACCCTAATAACTGACTTTGATAACAGTGTCGATTCTGAAGCCTTCTGGCTGTGAATCCAAAGGTGAGGAGCGGTTCTGTGAGAGGCAGAGGTGTCCCCGGCATTCAGGATTTCTGGTGGCAAGGAACCCCTGAAACTGTGGGTTCTGGGGAGTGTGGGCCGCAGAAGCACCAGGCAGGTGAAAATATTGTTTGGAACACCTTATTTCCACAAACTTCAACTGAATCCATTTTACAAGCACATATTTTTCAGAGCAGTTTTAGAGGGCTCTCTCATCTCTGGTATTGGTGTCACCTGAAAACATTTAACATCCCAAAGAAGAGCTCAGCACTTTCCAGGACAGGGCAATGATGCACCAAGAATGGATAAATCTCTTAAGATAATGTTCTTCCAGCTTCAGAGAGGAAATTAAGCTGAAATCCCCTGAGGTGCTTGGTATATTTCTCACAAGCAACAAAGCAGCTATGTACTGCAGGCTGTTTATGGAGAGATGGCATTCTTCCCTGAAAGCTTCTTTGTTTTACTGTTCCCTAGAAGTACTCCATCTGCAGGTTGTGATGATTTTATCAGACACTGTCACTGTCAGGAATATCCACTACATTTACCTTATTTTTAGGCGTGACAGCCAGAAGGCAAGATGAGTTTTTAACGCAATGCTGCTCTGATGCTTTCTGCTTGCTTCAAGCTTTACCATTTTGCCCCTTACCAAAAACTGACAAAAGGAACAGTCACCAGTGTGCTGGAGTATTGTCTTGGTTTATGCTATTTTCTCCTTCCCAATACACACTCATTTTGTATTATTTAAAGTGAGTTCACACCATGGATGGATATCCAAATGCCTTCAATAAATTCCAGGCACAGGAAAGAAAAAAAAAATAATATTATTTTGAGCTTGTACTTCATCTTAACTATTTCAAGCACCTCTGCAACTCAGAAGAAATGTGTTGTTTTCTTTAGAAACACAGGAGGAATCTATACCATCTAATTTTAGGCACCTAGGTGAGGTGCCTAAGTGAGGAACCCTGAGGCTCCCCTTGCAGTGAGCAGGCGATTCCAGAGGTGAGGTAGAGCCCCTAAAATCTGAATTGCTCATTGGAGAAGCTGTTTCTCTCCTTGGAGGACCATGAGAGCCTGAGGCATCTAAGATCTAGAAGAGGTAGCTTAGTGAGGAGACTGAAGCTGAGCAGCAGGATCCCTGCCAATAGCTTACACTTTCTGCAGATTGCCTGCAAACAGTAACATAGAATTGTCCGGGTTGGAAGAGACCTTTAAGGTCATTGAGTCCAACCATCAAGAATCATGGCAAATCATGATCCTCTTCCAAGTAGACACAATCCGCTAACAACAACGAGGTCCACCTTTTGTGATGTGTCCAGGAAAAATGCAATATTAACAAACTACTGTGTCATATACCTTTCCAGTGCTACTCGTAATTGGGTAAGACTAAGTGTCAAAGGAGCATCTGGTCTGGACACTTGTGAAGTTAAATGGTGGGAAAGAGGCTGTAGCAGGAAAGGAGAACGTGAAGGCTTTGAAAGATCCCCTGTAAATGCACTTACC